TGTTGAAGTCTCCCATGATTATTGTATGGTGGTCTATTAGACTCTTGAACTTGAGAAGAGTTTGCTTGATGAACATAGCTGCACCATTGTTTGGGGCATATATATTTATGATTGTTATGTCTTGTTGGTGTATGGTTCCCTTGAGCAGCCTATTCTTTCTTCTTTTCTCTTTTATACTCTCAAAGACTTTATTTATTTATTTTGTACTGGGGATTAAACCCAGAGGTGCTTTACCACTGAGCCACATCCCAGCCTTTTTTATTATTTATTTAAAAAAAAATTTAGATGTTGATGAACCTTTAGTTTATTCATTTATTTATATGCGGTGCTGAGAATTGAAGCTAGGCAAGTGCTCTACCACTGAGCCACAACCTTTCTTATTTTTTAAGACAGGGTCTCAATAGTTGCTGAGGGCCTTACTAAGTTGCCAAGGTTGATCCTGCTGTTTTAGCCTTCCAAAGACTTTTATTTTTTAAAGACATTTTAGGCTCACATCCTATTTTTAAAAGACATAAAAGTGCTCATTTTCTCTTTGTTGTAATTCTTTCCAAATGTTAAATACAATCAGATTGCATTTTGTAACCACAAATAATCTATAGATAGAAGATAAAAACCGACGTGAAATACCTATAGTATTAGTTTCTATGGTTTAATACTTTTAAATTAAACCATAGATTTGAACATTATATGTTTATGTCTGCTTCCTTTTTAAGATCTTGAGGTTTTAAATCTTAAAGGGAAAAACTGTCTAATTCTTATTTAGTAAGTCACTGGATGGATTGTGAAGTGGTAAAATATATTGTAAGGTGTTCATAATGATAATGTGCCTCAGGGAAGGTTGTTCTGTTATATTCAGGAATTCTTTTTTTAGGTGACAGGACATTCCCTTTTATCTTCTTAAAATGGTGTTTTTCTCAAATGTTTGAAAAAGGTGGTCCAGTTTTATTGGAGGGAATTCTTTTAATGTACTTTTGGGTCAGGTGAAAGATGTGCACTAAAAAATTGTACCATTGATGGATTCTTATTAAAATAGCTTTTTTCCTCTTTTTATTCTCCCATCCTAAGGATTCCTCATACTCCTATAGCCAAGATCAAGGCATGAACCGGCACAACTTTCCTTGCAGTGTCCATCAGTATGAATCCTCCGGGACAATGAACACTGATAATTCAGACCTTTTGGATTCCCAAGTCCAATATAGTGCTGAGCCTCAATTGTATGGTAATGCCACCAATGAGCATCCTGGCAATCAAGATCAGAGTAATAATCTTCCTGAAGAATGTTTATCTTCAGATGAAGGTACTCCTCCAAGTATTAAAAAAATCATACATGTATTGGAGAAGGTCCAGTATCTTGAGCAAGAAGTAGAAGAGTTTGTAGGAAAAAAGACAGACAAAGCATACTGGCTTCTGGAAGAAATGCTAACAAAGGAACTTTTGGAACTGGATTCGGTTGAAACTGGGGGACAGGACTCTGTCCGGCAGGCCAGGAAAGAGGCTGTTTGTAAGATCCAGGCCATACTGGAAAAATTAGAAAAAAAAGGATTATGAAAGGATTTAGAACAAAGTGGAAGCCTGTTAATAACTTGGCCAAAGAACTCTTGATTTTGGTTAGTTACTGTCTTTTTGAAATGCCTGTTGATGACAAGAAGCAATACATTCCAAATTTCCTTTGATTTAATTTAAAACTTAAAAAGTTGGTAAAGGAATGGAAGAACACTTTAGTTATGAGATTTTCAGTTCTCAGACGAATGAATGTAATAGGAAACTGGAATTACTAATATTGCCAAGTAGACTCACTTCTTAAGAAATTTGGGGACATTTTTAAGCAGCTTCTTATCAGCAGGAGAGAAATGCATTTCATGTAACAGGCTATCAGAAACCTACCAGATGAAACTGGATATAATCTGAGACAAACAGAATCTGTTTTTGTAAACATCTGGATTACTTGTCAACATTTTTGTACATTGTGACTGTTTCAGTGTAGACACTTCATTGTAAATTACAGCTTAGACTTTAGCCTTCTTGGACTTCTGTTTTATTATTTGCAGTTCACGAATATAGTATTATTCTCTACTTGGTACGTTTTGTAGTAATATGTTTAATATAATTATTCAAAAGACTATATTGACAGCCAGATAATATGGCAATTCTGAATGGATTTATGTCTTTTCATCACTTGAATATATTGCAATGTGTAGTGAATTCTTGAGGTAAATTGTCATCCTTTTTTGTATAGCACGTTTAGTTAGAGTTCTTAACACTTCTACTTTTCATAGTAGTAGTGGAAGGTGAATTTGGAAATGACATTGGTACAAGAATTAAATGTTTATGGACATTTTTCTTTTTTATTGTATTTGGATAAAGATCCACTTAAAATTACTTTAAAAAAAAAGTATAATTATCTTTTTACTATTGCTGCTTCTACAGAAAGCCTGTGATAGATACAGATGAAAAATCAATGCCATAATGAATATAAATAATGACTCCAAAAAGTAATAAATATTATTTGACACAAGGCCCTTTGATAATATTGTTTTCCATCTAAGTTATCAGTTTTGCTATATAAGATCCCTGTGGGCAGATTTCAGCTCAATTTATATTTAAAATAATGATGGGAAAAGGAGATGCTCAGGGAGTAAATCATGTATACAGTGGGAAATTATTTTCTTTTTGTTTCTTAGATAAATTTCATAGATTTTTGTTTGTTTGTTTCATAAAAGATGTAACTATTAACTGATTTTAGAGCCCAATTTAAGAGAAAGCATATGGAAAGGGTCTCAACTGGCCTTGTTTGGGTACCTATGTGCTATTGTATAGAAGAGATTTAGGTAAGTAACTTTTACATCTGAGTTCTAGTATACTATAAGTGCTTTTAGGAAAATAGCTTTTTCTTTTTCTTTTTTTTTTTTGGTGGGTGTTAGGGGGTGTAGGGCCTTGCACATGCTAGATAAGTGCTCTACCAATGAACTACAACCCCAGCTGTTTCTTAATAAGATATCCAAGTGATAATATTTTTCCTAGACTGCCAAGCCTATTAATGATATTAAATCTGTCACCCAACTCCTCTATTCATAACTAAGTAAACTAATAAAAACATGTTAAATGATGATATGAAATGTAGTAAAAATATTGAATATTGGCTGGGGCTTATGATTGGGATGAGTGATTCTACAGGATAATATGATGATAATTTATCCTAGGATTTTTATATTTGGCCTAATACAGGAATGTTTTAAAACAGACTTTTTTTGTGAAAATTAGAAAATTTTACTTAAGACTTTAGAAAGTGGAGAAACTTAAAGCCAAGTTACCAACGGTACAGTGACTAATTCTAAAGGGAACTTTGCTATTGCTATTTAATTACTGAGTGCCCAAGATGATAATTTCCACAAAGTCTTGATTTTTACATATATATACACATACATTATGCACAAATATACACATATGCATGTGTATCTTTTCAAGTTATTTTTTAAACTTTTGAGATGGGATTTTAGACTATAGAAGAGTTGTAAAAATACTACAGGTCCTGTATACCCTTCACCCACCTTCTTCTTATGTTGACATCTTAAAAAACCATAGAATATTTGTCAAAATTAAGAAATTAACCTTGCTACATGGTATTAAATAGAGAGTTAAAAGTAACTTTTATTAGTCTTTTTACTAATGCCCCTTTATTCTAGGATTGATTCCAGGATCCCATCTTGCATTTAATTGTCATGTCTCCATAGTGTCTTCCAGTCTGTGACAATGTACATTAACAGGATACCTGATGTAATGTATTTCTGGTGGTGTTAACTTCAATCACTATGCTAAGGTGATGTCTGCTAGAATTCCCTACTGTATACTATATTTTCCTTTTTAATTACTAAATATTTGCTAGAGATACTTCAGACTATGCAAATGACCTGTGTCTGCATAAACTTTTGCCTACTTCTTTTACTATTCATTGGCAGATCTTGCTTGTGGCAGTTACTACTGTGGTGTTCTAACAGTGCTTTTCTATTTCACTTATTTCTTCTACATTTAATAATTGGAATTATTCTTAAGGAAGAGCTGTCACTTTTGGATTTATATTTTTAATTATAATTAAGATATTCAGGATAGGTACAAACTTAAAAGATATAAACCAAGTTAAAATGATTATAAATACCAATATCAAAGAAAACTAAGTTGATTACCTGTCACAGAAAATACAGTGAACTTAAGATGAAAATAGTATTTATGATTCGTAGAATTTGTTCAACTTTTTTAATATTGACTTCAAACTGAAATCTTTTTATTTAATTTCATGCTCAGACTTTTAAAAGTGTCTAAATTTATATTACTTTGGGGATCATTTTTGTCAAAATCTTGAGTAAAGTTACCCAGAGCTGGCATGATAAACACAGCTGTTTTCTTTATTATAAGCCACAGTTGTTCCAAATATAGATGTTAATGTAAACATTTAAACAAATCAGCCAAATGAAGAATCTAGGACATGGTTTATGTTTGTCTCTGTATGTTGCTTAGAATTTTTAAAAGTGCTTTAAAAAATGGGGTTTGAAAATAATTCCTTAGTGGGTTATTGTAAATAATACTGTTAAAGGTAAGCAAAAATATTTTTAAAAATTGAAGAATGCAGATAAAATTGGCATTAAAAAAAGGTTGGAGCTTTTGCTTTTTAAATTTTTTTTAATTATGAGTTTATCTTAGTTCATAGACGTTGAGATTTTGATGAATCAGTTCTTCTGTGAAAAGGATCATTCTCCTGATCGCATCCCTATTTTTCCTTCTCTAAAGAAAACCACTTTTTTTTTCTTTTTCGATACTGGGGATTGAACCGAGGGATGAGCCACATCCCTGGCTCTTATTTTTTGAGACAGGGTCTTGCTAAGTTCCTAAGGGCCTCACTATGTTGTTAAGGCTGGCTTTGAATTAGCAATCATCCTGCCTCAACCTCCCAAACCCCTGGGATTACAGATATGTGCCACCACGCCCAATTCAAATAACCAACCACTTTCAAATGCAAAATGTAAATACATTTTCAAAATGTATGTTCATATTTTTAAATAACACAATTGTATTGCTTTTTTTGTGTGTTTTACCAATTTAGGTCTTTTCTACTGATTTTTCTGTTTTAGAGGGTGAGGATTTAGGTTCATGTATCTGCCTCTATTACACACACGTTAGTTCCGTCTTCCCCACTTCTCAATATAGTTTGACTATTTCTATGTAAATGCTAACCAGAACTTATTCATATAATAAACCGTGATTTCTTTTCCTGATCAACTCCTCGTTTTCCTTGTATTTATTAGTCGTCTTTATTTTGTTTGCTTATGTATTTACGATTGATCTGACCTCAGATTCTACATCAGTTGTCTAAATCTTCTCTCAAGATGCTCAAACATTTTAGCAATTTTAAATTCCTAAAGAAGTCTATCCTGGAGCATTCTGATTGGAGGATTGGTATGTTCCTGGTGTATATAGATATCTTGGAATCTTCACTTATTTTCTTTGTCATCTCTTTTGGTTTCCTGTATCCCTTGTCTCTCTCTCTCTCTCTCTTATTTTATTCCTTATTTTGGTAGAACATATTCTCTAGTAGCTTTCTGGAAAAGCGTGCATGGGAAGTAATTTTTTTTTTTAGATCTTACATAATTGAAGATTTCTGTTCTAACCTGCCCCTGGATTAATATTTCTGCTAGGTATAAAATTATAGGAAATGATTATTTTAAGGATTTTTAAAGACATTATCTAATATCTTGTGATTTCTACAATTGCTGTTGAGAAGGGTTTTTAGTCAGCTTTTTTGCCACTGCGACTAAAGGATCTAACTAGAACAATTTTAGAGGAGGAAAAGTTTATTTGAGGGCTTATGGTTTAGTCTTAGTCCATAGAAGGCTTGCTCCATTTCTCAGGACTTGAGGTGAGGCTGAACATCATGGCAGATTAGGGTGTGGAGGGAAGCAGCTCACATTATGGTGATCAAGAAGCAGATCACCGCTTTCCAGATACAAAATATAAATATACAAAATATATACCCTATAGCCACACCCTTTCCACTTCAATTAATCCCATCAGGAATTAATATACTGATTGGGTTAAGACTCTTAAAACCCAAGATGGGCATGGTGGTGTTCACCTGTAATTCCAGAGGCTGGGGAGTCTGAGGCAGGAAGATCGCAAGTTTAAAGCCAGTCTCAGCAACCTTGAGGCACTAAGCAACTCAGTGAGACCCTGTCTCTAAATAAAATACAAAATAGCGGGCTGGGGATATAGCTCAGTTATGAAACCCAATTTTTGTCTGGAAATTTGTACCATACTTTTTTTTTTAATATTTATTTTTTAGTTCTCGGCGGACACAACATCTTTGTTGGTATGTGGTACTGAGGATCGAACCCGGGCCGCACGCATGCCAGGCGAGCGCGCTACCGCTGAGCCACATCTCCAGCCCTGTACCATACTTTTTGTCCCTTCTGTTCTGAAATTTCTAAAAATGTTGCTTTGGTGTAGGTCTATTTTTATCCATTTTGGTTGGGCATGTTTCATTCTGGAAATCCATGCCTTAAATTCTATGACATTTTCTTGATTTTGTTTTTAATTTTCCCTCCCCTCCCCTTCTTCCCAATCTTCTCTGTTAACATTTCTAGATTCACTATTATTTTGATTGTGGACCATAGAAAACTGGTTCTTAGACTTCCTTTCTTTTTTCTCCCATTTACTTTTTAGAAGATTCACATTTTTTTTCTTCCAGTTTTTCATTGAATTTAAAGTTTCTTCCATTGTATTTTTAACTCCTGAGAGTTTTTTTTTTCTTTTCCTTTGTGGGATTTTATTCCTGTTTGTGGAGTAGCATTTTATAGTTATGAGGATATTAATGATAATTTCTTGATGTTTCTTCTTCCTGAGTAACAAATTTCCTCTGTAGTTCCTTTTACTTTAAGGTCTCTATCATATTAGAAGTATTTCTCAGATGTCTGTTAGTTTTTAGATTTTTTAACAGTGTGATTTTTATTTCACTGGAGATCCAAAATTGTTTCTGGGAGATTCTGTATAATTAATTTTTCTTTCCTTTTTTAGGGGGAGGGTATCGAGGATTGAACCCAGAGGCGCTTAACCACTGATCCTTATCCCCAGCCCTTTTGAAATATTTTATTTAGAGACAGGGTCTCACTGAGTTGCTTAGGGCCTTGTTAAGTAGCTGAGGCTGGCTTTGAACTCACGATCCTCCTGCTTCAGCCTCCTGAGCTGCGGGGATTACAGGCATGCACCCTATGCCTGGCTTCCATTTTCTTTTTATTTCTCCATTGTTTTGCAGTGCTGGGGATCACACTCAGGACTTCATGTGTGCTAGGCAAGAAGTCTACCACTGAGCTCCATCCCCCATCCTTATTATTTTATTTTTAAAAAATCTTTCCTGGGTATTGGTAGGGGAGGGATGGATAGATATTTTAATTCTGAAATAGAGAAGCGGAGATTACCTGAATGATTTTCACTTGTGTGAAAACAGGAAGCTTTTATATTCTATGTGACTTTTCTATTTGAGATAGTGTACATGTTTTTCATGATCAAATGTGAGGCACAGCCACACCTGGTGGTAATGCCTGAAATCCCAGCTAATTGGGAGACTGAGGCAGGAAGATCAAAAATTCCAGGCCAGCCTCAGCAATTTAGAGAGACCCTATCTTAAACTAAAATATAAAAAAGCATGAAAAGGGCTTGGGATGTGACTCAGTGGTAGTGTAAACTGCTGAGAGTGTGAATTTAAGGGGCTATATAATTTCTTTCAACCTATGTTAAATGTCCTTTATTTTATAATTACTTTATCTTGTTGGGTAAAATCAAGAGTAGTGTTGCCAAAGTACAGGATTTCTAGTTAAAATTTGAGTTTCAGATAAATAATGAATTGTTTTCTAGTATTAGTATGACTCAGGCAATGTTTGGGACATATTTGTACTAAAAGATCATTTTCTTGTTTTTTAAAATCCAAATTTAACTAAGAGCACTGTAGTTGTTTTTAATTAAGACTTTTATTTAGGGCTGGGGCTGTAACTCAGTGGTAGGCACTTGCCTCACATGTGTAAGGCACTGGGTTCAATCCTCAGCACCAAATAAATAAATTGTGTCCATCTACAACTAAAAAAACTATTTAAAAAAAAACCTTTTAGAAATACTTCATGTAATTTTAAGAAATAATACTAAGATTTTTATGTACCCTTTACCCAGTTTTCTCCATTGGTAATATGTGGTAAAACTTTGTTGCAAAGTCACAATCAGGAGTCTGATGTGGATAATTGTGTGACCACAATTATCCATTCTGTTGACATTTTATAGCCATGCTTTGCCCATCCGCCCTCTAATTCTAAGATTCTGGAAAATACTAACCTATTCTCCATCTTTAAATTTTGTCATTTCAGGGATGTTATCTAAGTAGAATCATATAGTATATTGATTTAGAGACTTTTTTTCACTCAGCATAATTCTCTTGAGATTTGTCTAAGTTGTTTCCTTTGTCAATTCTTTATTGTTAAATAGTAGTTGTGTATAACAATGATTATACCACAGTTTGTTTAAACATTCACCTGTTGAAGGGTGTCTGGGTTGTTTCTAGTTTGGGGCTATTATGAGTGAAACTGCTATGTATATTTACATACAGGTTTTTGTGTGAACATAAGTTTTCTTTTTTTCTCTCTCTCTTTTTTTTTTTTTTTTTGGTAGTACCTGGGGATTGAACCTAGGGGTGCTCTACCACTGAACTCGTTCTTTTTAAAAAATGTCTTTTTTTAGTTGTAGTTTATTTTTATGTGCTGCTAAGGATCAAATCCTTTGCCTCACGTGTGCTAGGTGAGCACTCTACCACTGAGTCACAACCCCAGCCCTCAGACCTTGTTCTTGTTATTTTTTATTTAGAAACAGGATCTTTTTAAGTAACTAAGGTTAGCCTCGAACTTGTGACCCTCCTGCCTCAGCCTCCTGACATGCTGGGCTTACAGTTGTGGGCCTCTATACCCAGTTACTTCCTTTTCTTATGGAATGAAATAGTGGCTAAGAATGCAATTTAGGGTAGCATGATAGCTGCATGTTTAATTTTTTAAAAACTGCTATTTTTTTTCAGATTAGCTGTACTATCTTACATTCCCACTAGCAATGCATGAGTTTTTCTCTAAATCCTTGACAGTATTTGGTGGCATCACTATTTTTTATTTTAGCCATTCTGATAGGCATATAGTACTAGCTCATTGAAATTTAGTTTGCATTTCCTTAATGGTGTTGAACATCTTTTCACATGCTCATTTGCCTTCAACATATTCTCTTCTGTGAACTATGTGGAAGTCTTTTCCAATTTTCTAACAGGATTTATTTTAATAAACTTTTAATTATTTTTTTGGTATTGGGGATTGAACCCATATGTGCTCTACCACTGAACTGTCCCCCTTAACCCTTTCTATTTTTTATATAGGGTCTCAAGTTGCTGAGRCTTGCAGTCCTCCAGCCACGCCTCAGCTTCCTGAGTCCTTAGGATTACAAGGGTGTGCCACCA